AACTCTCTATGCCTCTCCCTTCCTTTCTGTAAAAAATCAATAAAATATATATTTTAAAAAATTCCATTTTAAACGCGGGAAAGCGAAAAGCCTGAAGAGTTAGGCAAACTTTCCCTCCAGTTGTAGGGAACCAGTACAGAATACGGAGAAACAGCGATGAGCACAGATTCTGGCCTCGCGCTTCCCAGGTTCAGATCTGGGCCTCGCCACTCACCTGCTGGGGGTTACTCAGAGCTTTGTGCTTCTGTTTCCCAGCTGTAAAATGGGGGCAACAATAACATCTGCCTCAGTGGGTTGTTGTGAGGTTTGACATGTATAAATATTTATAATATGCCTAGAACAGTGCCTGGATAATAAAAAGTGCTATATAATATTTTCCTTCTTATGTTCACTTAAAATTCATGAAAGACAACTAGATTCTGCTTCAGGAAGCAAGCCAACCGTGCTGGCTTCCAGATGTGGGTTTTGCTCCATCTTTCGCCCACCCCTGCCATTCGTGGTGGCACAGTTAGAGTTTCAGGCTGGTAGAATCACCATCTAGCTCTACCTCCAGCCCAACCGCGGCAGGAATCCCGTGTGTATGTGGCACCTGACCGGCTGCCGGCTGCCTTGTGAGTGAGAATTCTTCAGGCTGATTGTACACGCAGGAAGCCCGGATTTCTCAGTCCTGGGGAAGGCCAGTGATGCCTGTTGGGTGACAGTGAGCTTTCCCAGGGCTGGGAAGCTCCGTTTCCGTGTTCACTACATGCACGGATAGGTCCTCCAGTTGCTTCAACCACGACACCTGACATGGTGCTTGCATCTTCTAGAACACTCCGAAATAAACTCCACGGAGATTCCCGAGGACGGCGGCTCCTCTTTCTTGCCACCAGGGAACTGATTTAGGGACAGGGATAGGGTTGGCTTTTCTGCTTAACAGCGACCCAGATCCTGAGTCAACACCTGAATACACACTGGGCTCTTTTTATTGAGCCCAATGGGGGGTGAGAGAGGAATGAGGCTCCGTCCTTTCCTGGCGCGTTACAAGGACTGCCCTGTGTCTGATTCCCAGGAATCCTTAGTTGGGAGACCTCTTGGTTTTAGATCGAACATGAGTCTCTTCCTGACTGGGCAGCAGGTTGCTTTGCTCAGGTAAACAGTATCGCTCCATAAACAGGCCAGAGGGGAGATTGCTACCAGCAAAGTTAACATTTCCGTTTAAATTCCAGCTCCTGGGAATATCCAGGCTGATTCAGCCTTTAGATGTTTTAATCTCCGCGGCCTGGCAACTCTGTTTTCCCTTTTCACTAAATGCTAGAGTTGAGGACTTAGAGAATTATGCAAAACACACTTGCAGTACCAGAGTTTAAAGGGGTAGGATCCCCAGTAGTATGGGCTGATGCACCTTTACCCCCCCCCTTTTTTTTGCTGATTAGCGGTGGCGGGGGGTCTTAAAAATGAGCTACAGGATCCTGAGCAAAGGGTCTCAGGTTTTCTTTGTCCCAGGACTATCTTTTTCAAAAAAATAATTTTGAGAATTAAGTGAAAACATATGCCAAGGTCACATTTGCTGTGTGCATGTACTAACAGATAAACGTGCAAGGCAAAAGCCTGTTTATACCACTAGCAACTGCACTGCAAAACCATCAACAGCTCACAGCCCAACCCATCTTCCAAAATGTTGGTGTGATGCATTTAAAATGTGCAACTTTGCAAGGAGGTGCCCACAAAGTCTCTTCTGTGATTTGCATATTCGTGTACAAGAACACAAACCGTTTACATGGGATTTTAGCCCGTTTTAAATGCTCAAAAAAAAGGTCCCCATGATTTGCTTTGCTTAAAATGCACACTCAAAACTTTATTAAAAACATTTTTCAAAAAGAGTTTCATAAAGCTAGACACCAGCAAGGCTTTACCGAGGGTGGAAAATGGATCGTATATCTTTAACCCGCAGAAGTTAAAAGGCTTTTTTTTTTTTGTTAGCTAACAATGGAAACTTTTTTTTAAAAAGTGTTTCCCTCCCTCGGTCTTGCCAAGCAATAGAAAAAAAAAAAAGAAAAAAAAGAAAAACTTGTTCCGCTGAGTTCAACCCCAGACAGGCTCACAACTTCCTTCCTGCTTTCCTCCCCCAACCCCCCCCCTTCCCCCTCCTCCCTCCTC